AGGAATAGCGCCCCATCATTGCCCCATCATTGGTGTGTCAGTGGGTGTCAGTGGGAGGAATAGCGCCCCATCATTGTGTCAGTGTCAGTGGGAGGAATAGTTCTCCATCAATGGTTCAGTGGGAGGAATAGTGCCCCATCATTGGTTCAGTGAGAGGAATAGTGCCCCATCATTGGTGTCAGTGGGAGGAATAGTGCCCCATCATTGGTGTCAGTGGGAGGAGTAGTGCCCCATCATTGGTAGCAGTGGGAGGAATAGTTCCCCATCAATGGTGTCAGTGAGAGGAATAGTGCCCCATCATTGGTGTCAGTGGGAGGAATAGTGCCCCATCATTGGTGTCAGTGGGAGGAATAGTGCCCCATCATTGGTGTCAGTGGGAGGAATAGTAGTGCCCCATCATTGGTGTCAGTGGGAGGAATAGTTCCCAATCATTAGTATCAGTGGGAGGAATAGTGCCCTATTATTGGTGTCAGTGGCAGAAATTATTCCCCATTGTTAATGTGCCCCAAGGGCCGGATAATAGCAAGAAAAGGGCCACATCTGGCCCCCGGGCCACAGTTTCAGTGGGAGGAATACCACTGTATTAATTCAAGCCTGCTCCATCCATTTAGCTTTAAAGGGGACCTCGCCCTAATTTGCAACCACCAAGAGGAAAAGTGTTAAATCTCCCTTGTTCCCTCACTATCTTCGTATTACCATCCTAAGAAACTATATTCCACACCTCCACTCAACTTCATTCCAACTGGGACCCAACAAGTGCGCAGAATACATTGTAGTGTTTTTTACAGGGACATTGCTCAAATGAGAATTCTTTTCCTTCACATCTAATCCTTGTCATCTAGTTCTGAGGACCCATGTGAGCTTGATAGTTGTTTCTGCTCACTGGGGATTCAGCAGTCCCCTCAGAGGAGGCACTGGATTTTTTTTATTGTTGCTTTACTGTGGATGTCGTTACTTTTCTCACAATTACTGAGAGTGTTTATATTTGCTGCATATATCAGTGTCATTTTGTTCTTTTTGACCAAGTCACCTCTAATTCCAATATAAACGTCATATTGGTCTCTACTGACTTGTGTGTGAGTCCATCTTACAGGTGCGATGGATTCGGGTCACGAGAGTGCGGTGGTGTCAGCAGAGGTTGGCCTTTCAACAAAACGTTCAGATTGACAAGGAACCCTAAAATTACTAAGCACCCCTTAAGGGGGAAGTGCTGCACCAGCTATTGTATTCTGACATCTGATTGGATGCAGCTTCTGTTTGACAAGCACATTTCTACCCTGTCCTTCTGGTTATTCATTTGAAGAATGTCAGGCAGAGCGGTGTGTACATGGCCACCCAGAAGACCAACGACTGGTGTATCTAGTATTGGCGAACATTCGCTCAGTGTATGGCCAGCTTTATGTGCTAGACATTGAAGTATTGTGCACAATGATGGAAGACTGCAGTGTGGGGGGCTCCAAACTCTTCTCCCCCATATTCCCAGTTCTGACACTCAGCAGTCCATATTACCAATATCTTTCTGTGTGTCAGAAACAACCGTAGTTGCTGATTAGTTGCTGCCCGCTGCCCCCATTTTATTGAGTTTTTATATTTTCTTTCACTTCACATTTATCAATATTTTTTACATTTCTGCTGGGTAAATAGAAAATGTTTATTGTGTTTCAGAGTTTATTTTCCAGGAGAAGCATTTTCTAGGGTCTTTTTTTAATTTTGGGTGCGCAGTGTAGACTATTGCTGACACGGGTAAAGCTGCCCTTTGTATCCACACAGACTTATGCGGTAAAGTAGTGTGCTGTAAAGCACCACATATTTATCCCTTGAACACCAGATCTACCATTAAATGTATTAAAATCACATTTATTAAAAAAGAAATGTTAGGCAGAGGTTCTGCATGCAGAGGTCATAGGGAAAGCAGGTTGGGCAGAATGCCTGCCAATGTGCCCCCTTGCTGCTCCTCTTCTGCTAATCACGCAGAGCTGCACAAACTGGAAATTAGAAGTTGGTGACATTTTTGGTCAGATGATCACCAGTTTTGGCAAGAGGATGAGTTTGGTTATGCACAAGAATTCCTCCTTTCAGATGTTGAGGATAAGGAAGATAGCACTGTGATTGCAGAGGCAGAGGAGGGTTCAGTCACATAGGAGTCAGAAGACATCAGGCAGCGATCTTACTGCAAAGATATCTCCTGTGATGAGGATGGAGTAGACCCCTGGTAGCCAACCTGCGGCCCTGTGATATATGATGTGTGGCCCTTGGACCTCAGCAGTTTGTAATGGAAATGTTGATTAGGGAGATAGCATTGATCTCTACCAGCCTCGTGTTACATGTCCCCAGCTTGTCTTCTGTAAACACATCCCCAGCCAACAATGTATCCTGTCCTCACTCTCTGACCCTCATTTACACTATTAGGTCTGCAGTCTCTGACAGTCCTCTCCAGCATTACATATATGGAACATTATGTGTGCCCATTTGCTGATGTCAGGGGCTGCACTAGAGGGCCCCCTTTTAGCTCATATGTTGACAACCACTGGAGTAAATGATGAGGTGGTAGACCATCTGATGTTGCCACTGACTGCGAAGGTGGAACATTTTAAAGAATGAGTACGACTGTGAGGCATTGCCATGATGTGAGCTTAGGGTACGGATATAGGAAGGACATTGGACATGTACTAAAGTGTGCAGCTCCAGAATATTGCTTCTGAATGAAGCCGACTGGGATTTCAGTTTTCTCTGGGTTTGGTTATCCCAGATCACGGTCTGTAGCTTGGAGACTTCAAAGAAAACTGCATGTGAAGAAGTCTCCGATCCCATGACCAAGTCTTATTGGAGACCTGCAGGTTGTGTGAGTATGTAGGTATGAATGCTCATTAGAAGCCAAGTCTGAGCACTGCATTTTGGAGAGAGCTGTGTGCCCCAGCCAGGAGGGATGTGTGTTCCTGCCCAGGAGACTGCACCCCATGTTGGGGGATTCCTTGCCCACAGTACTGGGAAAGTCAAGACAGCTGTGCAAATCTGGGGAGACTGGAAAAAGATGAGTTGCCTAGTAAATCCAGGGACTGGAGGGAATCTGTAAGTCTCAAAAGGAATGTGAGAACCCAGGGCGCCATGGGCCCCATACTGAGAGGCCAGGGAGGGGACCCATGTAGCAGGGGTGCAGCATCTGTTCTGGCTGAGTGAGAAAAGAGGAGTTGGGTGAAACGAGTCTAAATGACCAAAGAGAGCAGCAGCACAGCTGAAGACAAGAGAAGCCAGGTGGGTTATTGTTTTCTGTTGACCATTTCCTTCTTGGTAAACCCCTTGGGATACCTTGTGGGAATCTTTGTTTGAACGTTGATTTTTTTTTTGTTTGCTTAAATAAAAGTGGGCTGCCAAGCCTTTAAGGTCAATGCATGCTGGCCATTAAAATTTCAGTACCCTTGGCAGAAAAAAATGCATTATTTGTATTAGCATTTAGGTGCATTTAGTGTTTTTTTTCTGCCTCTAAAAGCTGAAATTACAATATGCCTCTAAATGTCCTAATGTGCATTGACACATAGGACACTATTGAGCTGCTTCCACAGGCAAAACACCAAACTCCTCTAGTGTGTTTTTTTTAAGCCAGTCTGCATGGACCCTAAAACACAGTTCAGACTGGCATGGACTTCCCGAAAACTCATCAACCACTGTGCTAGACATCCCCCATGGCACAAGAGGCAGAACAGCATTGAGGGAGCCACACTGTCAATCTTCTGGCATGTGGGAAGGATAAAGGACAAGGCACACTGCTGGAGCTGATGGGACTGAAACATGTTTCCTGCACCCCCTCCTCCTCCTCACTGGTCTCATCTTCTAACTCCTAGGAACCAGAAGTCCCCTCAAGCACCCAAGAGCCCATGGAGAGCCTGGTGGAGAGGAGCCACACTGGGACCGAGCTTCTGGCAGCTTTTCAGGCACAGACGAGAGGATAATTACCACATACAACTGATAGCGCTTGCTAAACTAATAATCAATATGATGTAAGGAGTATTCTTCCCACTGACCACCAATGTAAGGGACATTCTTCCCACTGACCACCAATGTAAGGGACATTCTTCCCACTGACCCCCAATGTAAGGGACATTCTTCCCACTGACCCAAAGTAAGGGACGTTCTTCCCACTGACCACCAATGTAAGAGACATTCTTCCCACTGACCCCCAATGTAAGGGACATTCTTCCCACTGACCCCCAATGTAAGGGACATTCTTCCCACTGACCCCCAATGTAAGAGACATTCTTCCCACTGACCCCCAATGTAAGGGACATTCGTCCCACTGACCACCAATGTAAGGGACATTCGTCCCACTGACCACCAATGTAAGGGACATTCGTCCCACTGACCACCAATGTAAGGGACATTCTTCCCACTGACCCCAAACGTAAGGGATATTTTTCCCACTGACCCCCAACGTAAGGGACATTCTTCCCACTGATCACCAACGTAAGGGACATTCTTCCCACTGATCACCAACGTAAGGGACATTCTTCCCACTGACCCCCAACGTAAGGGACATTCTTCTCACTGACCCCCAACGTAAGGGACATTCTTCTCACTGACCCCCAACGTAAGGGACATTCTTCTCACTGACCCCCAACGTAAGGGACATTCTTCTCACTGACCCCCAACGTAAGGGGCATTCTTCCCACTGACCCCCAACGTAAGGGATATTCTTCCCACTGACCCCCAATGTAAGGGACATTCCCCCACTGACCCCCAATGTAAGGGACATTCTTCCCACTGACCCCCAATGTAAGGGACATTCTTCCCACTGACCCCCAATGTAAGGGATATTCTTCCCACTGACCCCCAATGTAAGGGACATTCTTCCCACTGATCACCAATGTAAGGGACATTCTTCCCACTGACCTCCAATGTAAGGGACATTCTTCCCACTGATCCCCCAATGTAAGGGACATTCTTCCCACTGATCCCCCAATGTAAGGGACATTCTTCCCACTGACCCCCAATGTAAGAGACATTCTTCCCACTGACCACCAATGTAAGGGACATTCTTCCCACTGACCCCCAATGTAAGGGACATTCGTCCCACTGACCACCAATGTAAGGGACATTCTTCCCACTGACCCCAATGTAAGGGACATTCTTCCCACTGACCCCCAATGTAAGGGATATTTTTCCCACTGACCCCCAATGTAAGGGACATTCTTCCCACTGATCACCAACGTAAGGGACATTCTTCCCACTGATCACCAACGTAAGGGACATTCTTCCCACTGATCACCAACGTAAGGGACATTCTTCCCACTGACCCCCAACGTAAGGGACATTCTTCTCACTGACCCCCAACGTAAGGGACATTCTTCTCACTGACCCCCAACGTAAGGGACATTCTTCTCACTGATCACCAACGTAAGGGACATTCTTCCACTGACCCCAACGTAAGGGACATTCTTCCCACTGACCCCCAACGTAAGGGGCATTCTTCCCACTGACCACAATGTAAGGGCATTCTTCCCACTGACCCCCAATGTAAGGGATATTCTTCCCACTGACCCCCAATGTAAGGGACATTCCCCCCACTGACCCCAATGTAAGGGACATTCTTCCCACTGACCCCCAATGTAAGGGACATTCTTCCCACTGACCCCCAATGTAAGGGACATTCTTCCCACTGACCTCCAATGTAAGGGACATTCTTCCCACTGACCCCCAATGTAAGGGACATTCCCCCACTGACCCCAATGTAAGGGACATTCTTCCCACTGACCCCCAATGTAAGGGACATTCTTCCCACTGACCCCCAATGTAAGGGACATTCTCTTCCCACTGACCCCCAATGTAAGGGACATTCTTCCCACTGACCTCCAATGTAAGGGATATTCTTCCCACTGATCACCAGGGGTTCTGTGAGATCTGAATATTATGTGAAGTGTTCCTCTGTGGTTATAGGTTGTTCTCTAGTATGGAACAGGTGGGGAGTTTATAGAGGTGGAATGTTGATACAGCTGGTGCCATCTCCTGCTTCCCATGGGATTGGGATTGTTATAGTAAAAGCCTTTGCAGACATGGACGGTTCCCTGTAGCCCACCCCTGTGATGCAGATTGATGGTAGAACCTGTGATGCAGATCGATGGTAGAACCTGACGGTTCCCTGTAGCCCACAACCCCTGTGATGCAGATTGATGGTAGAACCTGACGGTTCCCTGTAGGCCACAACCCCTGTGATGCAGATCGATGGTAGAACCTGACGGTTTCCTGTAGCCCACAACCCCTGTGATGCAGATCGATGGTAGAACCTGACGGTTTCCTGTAGCCCACAACCCCTGTGATGCAGATCGATAGTAGAACCTGACGGTTTCCTGTAGCCCACAACCCCTGTGATGCAGATCGATAGTAGAACCTGACGGTTTCCTGTAGCCCACAACCCCTGTGATGCAGATCGATGGTAGAACCTGACCTCTTATCTGGATTAATAGAGAGGCAAGTAAAAGAAGAAGCTTAACCTGAAGGAATATGAATACAAAAAAAAGGGACCCCAGGAACTGCTGGCCAGCAATCGTCTTCTTCATCACCCAAAACAACCAAAAGCGGTTTACTTACAATCATTTCATTGCAATATAGATAAAGATCAATTTGTGTTGCACGTTTACAAGAATGAAATCTAAAACCGAACATATTCCTCTTCTTCTTATTGAATCAGAAAATGTAAAGAAAAAAAGGTATTTGCAGACCCTAAAGTGGTAGTGAAGCCACTTTGTTCACTTTTACCTAGAGGTGAGCGTATAATAAATCTTCCCTGGAGGTAAAATGAATATCTCCTGAATGAATGAATGTGCTCCGTTTAGGAGATTAATTTTTTTAGAGCCGGTGCATGCACGGAAGTGACGTCATCACGACTTGGCCATTCAAGCCACCGGAGCCCGTGAACCTGGAGGAAGGATCAGGTGAAGATGGAAGTCCTGTCAGTGGTGACGCCACTGGAAGGCTTTGTTTGTAGGTAAGTTTTACATAATGTGCTAGTATGTGATGCCCCATTGTGTGTGCGATGTCTCATTGTGTGCGATGCCCCGTTATGTGTGCGATGTCTCGTTGTGTGCGATGCCCCATTGTGTGCGATGCCCCGTTGTGTGCGAAGACCCGTTGTGTGCGAAGACCCGTTGTGTGCGACGACCCGTTGTGTGCGGTGTCTCGTTGTGTGCGGTGTCTCGTTGTGTGCAATGCCCGTTGTGTGCGGTGTCTCGTTGTGTGCGACGCCCCGTTGTGTGCGGTGTCTCCGTTGTGTGCGGTGTCCCGTTGTGTGCGGTGTCTCGTTGTGTGCGGTGTCTCGTTGTGTGCGGTGTCTCGTTGTGTGCGGTGTCTCGTTGTGTGCGGTGTCTCGTTGTGTGCGGTGTCTCGTTGTGTGCGGTGTCTCGTTGTGTGCGGTGTCTCGTTGTGTGCGGTGTCTCGTTGTGTGCGACGCCCCGTTGTGTGCAATGCCCCGTTGTGTGCGACGTGTCCGTTGTGTGCGGTGTCTCGTTGTGTGCGATGCCCCGTTGTGTGCGATGCCCCGTTGTGTGCGATGCCCCGTTGTGTGCGATGCCCCGTTGTGTGCGGTGTCTCGTTGTGTGCGGTGTCCCGTTGTGTGCGATGCCCCGTTGTGTGCGATGCCCCGTTGTGTGCGATGCCCCGTTGTGTGCGATGCCTCGTTGTGTGCAACGCCTCGTTGTGTGCAACGCCTTGTATTGTGCAGTGCCCCGTTGTGTGCGGTGTCTCGTTGTGTGCGGTGTCTCGTTGTGTGCGATGCCCCGTTGTGTGCGATGCCCCGTTGTGTGCGATGCCCCGTTGTGTGCGATGCCCCGTTGTGTGCGGTGTCTCGTTGTGTGCGATGCCCCGTTGTGTGCGGCGTCTCGTTGTGTGCGACGCCCCGTTGTGTGTGACGCCCCGTTGTGTGCGACGCCTTGTATTGTGCAGTGCCCCGTTGTGTGTGGTGTCTTGTGTGTGACACCCCGTTGTGTGCGACGCCCCGTTGTGTGCGCCGCCTCGTTGTGTGCAATGTATTCTAGCATATTATGCTTTTACCTTGCAGGTGATTTATTTCTTTTGGATGCAGTTTATTACCACTTTAAAGTGTATGTATGGCCCAACCCATTTTTTGGATAGGATGGGCAAAGGTTAGAATCCCTGTCAGGTTTTCATTTTATAGAGAGGAAATCTTTCCGTGGGGACATGTGTTCTGGTGACAACTGTGGAAGAGAGGATTTCCCGGCCTCATCTTCTAGAGATCTGCTCTCATGTCCTGTTCCATCTCCATGACAGGAAGTGAAGGGAAATCTCCTCCAATGGGCCACAGATAACAGAACATGGACAGGTTCCCCCTTCCCCACTCATTGTGTACACAATCACATTACCTGGAAATAGGATGGAGGTGCATGGAAGGAGTTTAATATAACGAGAGCCTAGTAACCAGTACAAGCAGCCTGGGCTAGGTGAGGTGTCCTCCAGTAGTAAGGGGGTCCCTGGTTTGGGCTCCTCAGTGGTCTGTCTCCCATAGCAACATGAGCAGATCAGAGTCTCGGAGGCCCTTGGCCTAGCCACCAGGTACAGGAGAGCAAGAAGAACAAAATGCATGCACGAGGTCCATGCTATGTGTATGGCAGGACTCCATTCTGTCACTGAGAGTGACTTGGCAGACGTATGCTGGACGGGTGGAGTGGGCAAGGGCTCAGCGTGTCCCTCCTAATTGCCAACAGGTACAAGGTGTGCGTTGGCACAGGACCAGACGTCTAGCTGGAATCTGGCTTGGTCACTCAGTGTACGACCATCTCTAAGTTGGAGTACCACCTCAAGATTGACTTTCCCTGAAAGCTGTCCCCACCTTGTCCCGGGGCATTGACGAGCACGACAAAGCAAAAGGTACCCCTTGTGCAGGGCGAGTGACACCGTCCACCATGCCTTGCATGGCCCAGAAGAACCCACCCTGGGGTAGGACTCTCATGTTGCCCTAAATGGAAGGCCCACGTACCCTACAAATTGGCCCCCAATGTGGGGCCACACCTGCTTCATACACCTGAAGACCACCACTAAAGAGACCATAGCAATAGTTAGCTAGTTAGAACTTGTCCATGCTTGCCCAGCAATAATGTATATGACTTGCTATGCTTGTTTCCCGATTGGTCCCTGCACAAGGTACCCTCGTGGGATTGGAGGAGATGCTGATAAGGGGCCTATATAGCAACCGGCTCTGGAAGGACCCTCAGACCTGTTGTCTTCTCTCAATAGAGGAGGATGACAAATGACAATGTGAGTATATTTATAAATGTATTTTCCCGCAGCAACTTGTCCAACAGTTCTTTTCCAGGGAGATGCATTTATTTGGATAAAAGATATTTGTAACAGATGACAGACCTCCAATCTATAACATTTGTAAATATTACAACAAACAAACAACCTTCAGAGTCCCATTGAAGATACTTCATATCACACATGGAGATCCTACACCGTCCATCATATGTCCGATCTATAACATGCCTCCATGCGTGCAATAATGCGAGTTATGATCTATACCTTTGCTTCCATATTAATGAAAGGAAGAAGCTCCTCCCCCAGACAAAATAACTTCCCTTGAAATACAGTTTACTGGAGGGGTTTCTGATTGGCTGACAAAACACTTTTGATCTTCCATGAAAAGACATCACTTGTCATTACTATAGATAACAATTAAGGTCACTATTGTGTTTACCAGATACACAAGTCATCCTGTCACCATATAATACCCCCTCCAGTCTAATTACCATCAATAAATACTTCTTGTATGGTCAAGTCACATTCTTTATTATCCTTAAATGTAAACAATGTATCCTCTGAAATGTCTAATTAGATAAACAGGCGATTCCCCAAATACCGAGGTGACCTCCCATAGAATTAACATGGCAAAGAGTTCTTTTGATGTGTAAAGTGGTCATGTCACCGGCCTGTCCCAGAATGAACAATATGTGTTTCAATATCTATCTAATAAAACATACAATATACTTTAAGACCCACCACGTGCGTTGCTACCGGTCACTATGTTGGAGCAGCAGCTACCCTGGAAGAAGGTACTGGTCACGTCTGACACTGGGGTCTGGAACCAGCCTGTTGTAGGGTTTGCTGCACGGCACCTGAGACAAACTCTGGGTTATATGTCCATTTTGTAGGAGTCGCCTGGTTCTACTCTCCCCGCAGGCTTGCTGTCATCAATGTGGAGCTCTACTTTTTCATAAGTTGCCAGAAGTCAAAGAAGCCGCAGACCTCGGCCCTGATAGACTGACTGTCCCGTGGGAGGTTTATGATGGCACAGGACCCAATACTCTGCTGGAGCCCCTGGTCAAAATCCTTTGGCCTGCCAGTTGCATCTATCCAGGGATGGCCTCTGTGACGGGAGTGACTTCGGGTGGGGGGCCCATGGAACACAGCTCACTTTGGAGAGGTGGGGAGACCCCTGTCTCAGCTCCCCATATCCCTATTATGTGTAAGTCCCCCTGTGCCTGTTAGGTGTACAGGGTGATCTGTCCTAATATTGGGGTGGGGGGTTGTTTAATGCCATGTGGTTGCATCCCATTGTTCTACTGTTTGTCTTGCTTGGGAGCAAACTATTATGGGATGTATGTGTTTATGTGTATTAGCTTAGTGGGGGGGTGTATCCATCAGCCCTCCCTCCTGATGGGGACCATCTGCTGGTGTGTCTCTTGTTACTAAATGTAGATTACCCCGCCCTGTGTCATTATGCAGGGAGGGGGGATTGTCCCCTGAGTGTATATATCTTGTATCTGTGTTCAAATAAACTAGTCTACTTCCTGGTTTACTTCAAATCTGTGGTGTCTGTGGTTGGTGTTTGGACAGGGAAGCCATATTCTAACG